CATTTCCTTCTGCTCCTCGTTGGGTTCGACACTCTTACTTATCGAAAGGACTATGATAGATCCCCTACACTTGTGGGTCATCAAACACCGAATCTACAAACTATGAAGAAGCTAAGATGAGCCCGGATTTCGACAAATGGCTTCAGGCCATGAAATCCGAGATAGGATTCATGTATGCGAACAAAGTATGGATTTTGGTGGACTTGCCCGATGATCGGCAATCCATTGAGAATAAATGGATCTTTAAGAAGAAGACAGATGTTGACGGTAATATCACCGTCTATAAAGCTCGACTTGTCGCAAAGGGTTTCCGACAAGTTCAAGGGGTTGACTACAATGAGACTTTCTCACCCGTAGCAATGCTTAAGTCTGTTAGAATTGTGTTAGCTATTGCGCATTATGTGTTTATGAGATCTGGAAAATGGAAGTCAAAACGACATTCCTTAACGGGTTCCTTAAGGAAGTGTTGTATATGATGCAACCAGAAGATTTTGTCGATCCTAAGGATGCTAACAAAGTATGCAAGCTCCAGCGATCCATCTATGGACGGGTGCAAGCATCTCGGAGTTAGAATATACACTTTGGTGAGGTGGTCAAAACTTTTGGGTTTATACAAAGTTTATGAAAAAGCTTGTATTTACAAGAAAGTGAGTGGGAGCTCCATAGCATTTCTGATAGTTTATGTGGATGGCATATTGTTGATTGGAAATGATGTAGAATTTCTGGAAAGCATAAAGGGTTGTTTGAAAGGAGTTTTTCAAAGGAAGACTTGGGTAAAGTTGCTTACATATCGGGCATGAAGATCTATAGAGATAGATCAAGACACCTGATAAGACTTTCATAGAGCACATACCTTGACAAGATTTTGAAGGAGTTCAAAATGAACGAGTCAAAGAAGGAGTCCTTTCCTGTATTGTAAGGTGTGAAGTTGAGTAAGACTCAAAGCTCGACCACGATAGAAGCAAGAGAAAGGATGAAGGTCATCCCATATGCCTCAGCCATAGGCTCTATAATGTATGCCATGTTGTGTACCATACTTGATGTGTGCCTTGTCATGAGTCTGGCAAGGGGGTACAAGAGTGATCCAGCAGTGGATCACTGGATAGCGGTCAAAATTATCCTTAGGTACCTCTAAAGAGGACTAAGGAAATATTTCTCGGTTATGGAGGTGATAAAGAGTTTGCCGTAAATGGTTACGTTGATGCAAGCTTTGGCATCGATCCGGATGACTCTGAGTCGCAAACCGGACACGTATAGCAGAGCAATCATTTGGAATAGCTCCAACTGAAGTGTGGTAGCAGCATCTATAGTATGACATAGAGATTTGCAAAGTACACACGGATCTGAATGTTGCAGACCCGTTGACTAAAACATCTCTCACAAGCAAAACATGATCAAACCCCATAACTCATTGGGTGTTAATCACATGGAGATGTGAACTAGATTATTGACTCTAGTGCAAGTGGGAGACTGTTGGAAATATGCCCTAGAGGCAATAATAAAATAGTTATTGTCATATTCCCCGTTCATGATAAATGTTTACTATTCATGCTAGATCCGTATTGACTGGAAACTTAAATACATAAGCTACATCGTGTCCCTAGTATGCCTCTACTAGACTAGCTCGTTGATCAAAGATGGTTAAGTTTTCCTAGCCATAGACATGAGTTGTCATTTGATAATGGGATCACATCATTAGGAGAATGATGTGATGGACAAGACCCAACCGTAAGCTTAGCATCAGATCATTTATTTATTTGGTACAACTTTCATCATGTCAAGTATCTGTTCCTTAGACCATGAGATCGTGCAACTCCCAGATACCAGAGGAATACCTTGTGTGCTATCAAATGTCACTTCGTAACTGGGTGATCATAAAGATGCTCTACATATATCTCCGAAGGTGTCTGTTGGGTTGGCATGGATCGAGATTGGGATTTGTCACTCCGTGTGATAGAGAGATATCTCTGGGCCCTCTCGGTAATACAACATCATAAAGAGCTTGCAAGTAATGTGGCTAATGAGTTAGTCACGAGATCTTGTATTACAGAACGAGTAAAGAGACTTGCCAGTAACGAGATTGAACTAGGTATGGAGATACCGACGATCAACTCTCGGACAAGTAACACATCACCGGACAAAGGCAATTGCATACGGGATTGACTGGATCCTTGACATCGTGGTCTAACCGATAAGTATATTCGTTGAATATGTAGGAATCAATATGGCATCCAGGTCCCGCTATTGGTTATTGACCGGAGAGGAGTCTTGGTCATGTGTGCATGTTCTCAAAGCCGTAATGTTCGGTAGCGCTAGGGTAGTATTGAGATATTAATAGTGGAAATTCTGAAGGTTGTTCGGAGTCTCGGATGGGATCCAGACAACACGAGGAGCTCTAGAATAGTCCGGAGGTAAAGATTCATATATGTAAAGTTGTTATCGGGGTTCTGGAAAAAGCTCGAGTTTTTTCGGTATTGTACCAGGAAGGTTCTAGAAGGTTCCAGAGTGGGGCCCACCTACATGGGGGGATCCACATGAATGTGGGTAGTGGGGAAAGTCCCCACAAACCTGGTCTATGCACACCGAGATCCTCCCTTAAAAGGAATAGTATCATATCCCGAAGGGATAAGATCGGGATCCCTAAAAACGGGGGATAGCGATCGGTGGGGAAGGAAAGGAGGGATTTCTTTCTCCCCCTTCGGCCAACGATCCTATGGACTTGGAGGGCAAGCCACCAGCCCCCTCCACGCCTATATAAAGGCGAGGAGGCATTGGGGGCAGCAACCCTTCGCCCTTGCTCGTTACCTCTCTCAACTCCTCCCACGTTTCATCGGTACGCGCTTGGCGAAGCCCTGCCGAAATTCCGCTGCCACCATCACCACCATGCCGTCGTGTTGGTCCTGATCTCATCTACCTCCTCTCCCTCGCTTGCTGGATCAAGAAGGAGAGGACGTCGCCGAGCTGTACGTGTGCTAAACTCAGAGGTGCCGTCCGTTCGGCACTAGATCGGATTGGATCGTGATTGGATCTGTAAGAGTACGACTACATCAACCATGTTACGACACTAACGCTTTCGGTCTACAAGGGAATGTAGACACACTCCCCTTCGTTGCTTTACATCTCCAGAGATAGATCTTGGGTGTTTCATAGGAATTTTTTTATTTTCATGCAACGTTCCCTATCAGTTTAGCCCAAAAACTACAAAGTAAAGGAAGTGTCATACAACAGTTGGCCAAGACCTAGAGGTTGATTAGTTTCCCCGCATGTCTCGCCCACTAGTCCAACATGATGGACATGACCGGGCGCGCCCAAGCATCCCCATATCTGCCCCACATATGTGATGTATATGGGGTGTATCGGACAACCCGGACATTTGGGCTGTGTGTGAGTGGCTGGTTGGGTTGTGATTGGATGGTGTCCTGGTTGTCCGCACGGATGTTTTGGTGAGGGGCGCTGAGGCGCCCAGTTGTAAATTCTCTTAAAAAGAACTTCCAATGATGTAACTTTAATGTACAAACTTAATGGTCCCTTATCTATATTTCCCGGTCCGTTATCTATATTTAAACCATCACGGGCATTTACCTCCAATAAATACCTATAAACTTAATGTCCTATAAATAACAAATTAACATTAGAAAGTGTGAAAGTTTTAGAGCATCTACAATCGCACCCACCTATATGCCCGACGCATTCGTCGACCGGAGCTGGTCACCCCTTTTATTTCCGGATCCTGCAACAGCACCCCTCATATGCAAACCCATGTGAATCCATGCAATGCAACCTAAAATTCATCATGCGTTCATCATCATACGTAAATAAAACAAGGTCCATTTGAATTAAAACTATCTTACTTCCACTCTTCGTTGGAGACGTATATGACCCCCATGCCAGACGGACCGCGCGGCCTCGTGGTCATTTGCGGCGGGGCGCAACTCCAGCTTCATTTACTCGTCGTCCTTGTTGAGTTCCGTGAAAAGCCGTTCCTGCCTCATGTTAGCGAGGTGGATATGATGGAGGTTCGTCACCACCTCCCGCTATGATTGGGTCGAGTTGAGGATGGCTGCTTGCTTCACCTCGAACTGTGCTGCCGCCTCCGCGTCTTGGGCATGTCGAAACTTCGCCTTCGCCTGCCCATGCCAAAGCCGCTGGGCTCGACCTCCATGCCCAATGCCTCCCCCACCACCTCTTACATGTCCTAGATGCCCACCTCATACTCCGCCTTTAAACTCACTAGAGTTTTCCCTCAAGAAAAAAAAAACTCTGTAGCTTCTCTATAAAAAAGAAACCCTGAAAAATTTCAAAAAGAAAAATCTCATAGACATCGAGTGTACTCACGTGTGTCAAGAGCGCAACGACCACACGTGTCAATCGGACCCCAACATTTCACTCCGCCGACATAAAGTCGTTGAATCAACTTGTGGTTGGATGGCTAGAGGGACTGTGGTATCCCCAGCCCACGAGGGTTCAAGTCCTGGTGCTCGCATTTATTCCTGGATTTATTTTAGAATTTCCGGCAATGCGCATTCAGTGGGAGCAGACGTTCCCGTCGATGACGAAGTGCCTACGATGACTTCGTAAATTTCAAGAGAATATGCCGGCTCAGTCCTTCGGATGTACTCATAGGGGTAGGATGTGCGTGTGTGTGTTTATAAGGGTGAGTGTATGCGCGTGTATATGAGCGCTTGCGTCTGTACTCTGTTAAAAAAAGACACAAAGTCGTTGTAGGTGTAGCATTATTGCTCCACGGCCACGCAAAAAGGAACCAACGCAGGGAACCGCGTAAACCCCACTTTTCCAAGAAGGAGCCGCGAAACATTCCCAGCGGCCACCGTCCTGCATCTGTCTGACTAGTGGGCCCAGCTGGTCGGTGCCATCTGATCTGACTATATACCGCCTCCGTTCGCTTTGCTCCTCCCCAGTCACCAGTCCCCACTCCCCACTCGCCTTCCGCCACACCCAAGAAAACCCTACATCCGGAGGCATCGTCATCGCCGGGCGAGATGAAAGGCGGCGACATTGAGGCGGGCGGCGACGTCGAGGCGGGCACCGCGGCACCGAAGGGGGCGCCGTACCCCGGGACGACAGAGAGCCCGGAGTTGCGCTGGGCGCTCATCCGGAAGGTTTACGTCGTCCTCTGCCTGCAGCTTCTCCTCACCGCCGTCGTCGCGGTCGTCTTCGTCAAGGTCCGCAGCATCCCGCATTTCTTCGCCTCCTCCTACGTCGGCCTCGGGCTGTACATCTTCATCCTCATCTTCCCCTTCATCGGTGAGGCCTCGAACCATTTCTCTCCTCCATCGTCTTTGTTACGAATTTGTGATCCAATTGCAGTTTGCAGTGAGGGTTTTCTTTTTTTGGTAAAAGAAACAGAGCATGTATGTACAGGGGCTATACAAAATTAAATTACAACTTACAACTGCAGTTTAAGTGCCACAAAACAAATACTATGATGCACAATTATCGGAAGTCTCGCACCCGATTTGGGAGATCTGAATTAGATTTTCGTTTTGCTCTCTGAACTGCTAGCCAACGAGCTATCTTTCTTGAATTTACACCTGCAAGCATAAAGACTTGGAGTGATTCCCCTGAAAATAAAAGGTCGTTCTGTGTATTCCAAATGGCCCAAGAGGCAAGCAGTGCGTAATTCGGACGAATTTATAGGTGATACTGCTAGTTGTATGCGTGCGATTTCGTTATGTCTTTCCCGCAAAAGAAAAGATTTAATTGTGTCTGGTTTTGAGGGCCTTGGTGAGAGGACAGGACTAGCTTTCCCTTTGCATTCTTTGTGCAGAGGTATGAATTACAACTCCTGATTTTTGCAGGAACGTCCTATGCACTCTTAATTTTGCTTTACTACTGTAGAATGGGATGTGTTTGCTTTGTGAGTTGCAGCTGGGAGTATAATCTGTTACTGATAAAACGCCTGTTAATTTTTTGTATGCAGTGATGTGCCCATTGCACTTCTACCGCCAGAAGCACCCGGTCAACCTGCTGCTGCTTGGCGTCTTCACAGTGGCCATCAGCTTCTCTGTGGGCTTGACATGTGCCTTCACTAGTGGTAATTGTCTTCGCACCACGTATTCTTTCTGCTCCCGCTGCCAGCTCCTAGCTTGTTCTTGCGTCACTCTGCTGCTTATGTAAATTAGCATCCTTTAATGCCCCTCTCATTGTGTTAATTCATTACATATACATGGCTAGTAAAATGTTTTCGTCCTATTAGCTAGCTTGTTAGTCACCATGTGCGGCAATTGATAGTTTCTTACAGATGTTGTGAAGCATTTTGTTTGCCTGTAGACTGGGTTCAGAAATACATGTGCTGCCAATTTGCCATGGCCATGTAAATGGTACACACGGCCAGGCAGCCCATGTGACTGTAGTTGGTGCATTTTCCTAGTCTGTGTTGAGGGCCAAATTGTAGCTGTTGGTCAACATTTATGGTTGATATGTTTGTCTGAGTAAGAACCATTTGTAGTATTGCCAGCTAGCAGGATTACTTGTTTAGCTGTTACTTTTTGAACAGAAATTGGCAAACAGTAACCTTCGCTTTTCATAGAACATTAGTTGGATCTTGCATATTTGTGTACTGTTTCTTCCAGCCACTCTTTGTTGTAAGATACAGTGTTGTGATATTATCAATTCGATCCGAAGGGCCGATTTGTCCAATATTATGCGAGCCTACCTGCCCAAGTGGACATGGTTTTGGCAAGGACGTGGATTTTCAGATTTTAGCATGACAGGACAGGAGGTTGCTGATAGTTTGCTTCTTCAATGCATCACTGCCATCTCCTTCAGATTTTAGCATGCATGTGCTTTATTGTTTAGTCAAATTTACATGATAGTTTCTTTGGTAAAGAGATGTATGCGATGATAAGAAAGCAACCAGTTCATTTAGTAGTCCTGCTAAAATAGTCCGCTATGTGTGCAGGCAAGGTCATTTTGGAGGCTGGGATTCTTACAATCGTGGTTGTCTTGAGCCTCACTGCTTACACCTTCTGGGCTGCAAGGAGGGGCAAGGACTTTAGCTTCCTTGGTCCTTTCCTATTTGCTTGTCTGATGATTTTGCTCGTCTTTGGGTTCATTCAGGTCAGATGCCGTCCGTTCCCTTCTCTAGTTAGGTGTGTCGCCCATTTATCTATCAGTCTTCTCTATTCTACAATGCAAAAACTGATCATGACTTCTGTTTGCAGATCTTCTTCCCGCTGGGCAAGCTCTCTCACATGATCTATGGCGCGCTGGCGGCACTCATCTTCAGTGGCTACATTGTCTATGACACGGGCAACATCATCAAGCGTTACAAGTATGACGAGTATGTCTGGGCCGCCGTCACGCTCTACCTTGACATCATCAATCTGTTCCTGGGCCTGATGACCCTGTTTAGGGCGGGTGACAGCTAGGCAGGTCGCCCTGCCCCTACTCTCGCGTGCTTGAAATCCCGTCGATGAATTTGGTATCCTGATGAGTCCTTGACATGAAGAATTGTATAGTCTGGTCTGTCTCGCTGGCACGGTGAAAATGTTGCTTACTTTAGTTGAGTTTATCCCTAGTAGAGAGGAAACATAAGAAAACAGTGTGTCGTTTCCGTTCTATGGATGGTGGATGTGATGTTGTATTTAGGGGGTCTTTGACATGCTGGGTTGGTGGTGTTGCGTTTCTGATATCATTTGTCCTTGTGGCATCTGGACGAGGGCAATATTGCTTCCTAGCACATATGAATTGGTCTCTTGGCCTGCCTAGTTGGTGGCGTTTGTCCTGTACTATGAAGTAAATAGCCCAGATTCTAAGCTACTCCCTCCGTACAAGTCTTTTTGAAGATTTCAATACCGATTACATATGGATGTATACAAAACATATTTTAGAGTGTAGATTCATTCATTTTGCTCATTCATTTTGCTCCGTATGTAGTCCGTATTAGAATCTCTAAAAAGACTTATATTTAGGAAAGGAGGGAGGAAAACTAAAGGGATGCATGTTTTCATGTATACCACTTAGAGCAACTCTAGCAGAGTGGTCATGTGTGGTCGCCTGTCATATGACATAGAGATTGCGAAGGCGAAACGTGTGGTCACTGTCATATGACATAGAGATTGTGAAGGTGAAACGCAGATTCAGATTAGCTAAGAAGACAATCTTCATATTTTTTGCACACGTGTGCCCTACCTGTCATTGACTATATTTGTTCTTTTCAAAAAGTCAAAATCAAAACATATTTGATTCAAACTTCAGTTCGAACACAAAGAGAAGCATTGTTCATTGTAGACCTCTTACATCGAATTGTGCATAAAAACCACATCGTGGTAGATCCACCATTTACAAAGCAAAGCACAACAAAACAGTTGACACTTCTGGTGAGACATTTTCACCTCCCAGTACGTCATAATAAGACGCCATGCAAAATTTCACTCTTTTGCATCATAGTTATGTTGGATTCATTTTTCTAATGAAAAATGCAAATGGTGCCTAAAGACAGGAAAATTTAATATACGTATTGATTAAGTTTCCCAAACCTTCTCTAGTAGTTTGATTAAATCATGACAACAAATGTAGACTATATTGGATTTCTATTCTTACAAGCTGCTTCAAAAGGTACTACTAGTTATGAACTGTTCGAAGAGTGCACAAAGAGAAATCAAGACATGAGAACTGCCAATGTGAGATTATAATTGTACCATCAAGGATAAAATATAGGATCTAAACCATCGCCTCTTGGGGGCGCCGTCTTGAAGATCTTGGTTCCATTTGTGATTCCTGCAGGCTGGGCGTGCACTACATTGCAGTCGGCAGTGCCCGACTGGCGATGAGGTGGTGTGGCGTTGCGACGTGTGTGGCAACAATGATGGTGGCGAGGAGAGTCGGATCGCGACTTGTCCTTCTGATGCCGAAGGTTCAGTGCGCCAATGGGTGTGCCTATGTTTGTTTCTGGCTGTGACAGAGAAGTCGGAGTTGTGGGCGGCGGGGCCACTGCGGCAACAGTGACTCCATGAGGGCGATTTTAACGAGCGGTGCTCTTCGGGTGTTGCGCTGGACTAGGTCGGTGCAAGGCTTCTAACTTTCTCCTGTGATGCTCATCCGCAAAATCGGAGCTGCCATGTCCTTGACGCTGTGGTCGACTGTTTGGCGTTGCTTTTGTTGTTCAGTGCTACCTCTCGATGGTTGTGTCGTTGGTTGTGTCTTGATCCTGTTTTTGGCGAGGTCGTCCGTGTGTGCCCCTTGTGGGGTTTGTAATTTAGGTTTTTGTCCAGTTTTCTTCTAATTAACCGGACAACTCTCTTCTTCTTAATCAATAAAAATGGCAAATCTTTTGCCTTGTTTAAAAAAAATCATTCATGTGACATGTACATAGAATGATTGCTCATTACAGCCCTCTTACAACGAACTAGTAGGGTGAACCGCGTATTTGCGCGGCTAGATTTTCCCCACGTTTTTAAATTTGAGTTTTAGCATATTTTCTATATTAACTTTGACAGTGTTATTTCTTCTCAATTCTGTCCATGGACCTTAAGAAATTGGACACCCGAAAATAACATCACATTAGAGAGATTTCAGATAATAATTCATCCCAATCTTGCTGGGTCATGAAGTTCTTTGAAAAAATTCCTTTCCTTTCTCATCATTAGTGACATTGTTGTTAGGTTTGTTTAGGGAAATGCCATGCATGATGATGCATCCACACATGCAATCCTTATGTCTTTTTTTTGGGAAAGTCGGAAAGACATGCAATCCTTATGTCAATTTCCTTTATTATGTGCCTATCAATTTAATGTGTTTGTATTCACTAAAAAGTGCTAAAACATTATCTCTCTGCTAATTCTTGCATACCAGGTCTTTTAATTTATCGAATCGTGTCCATGTTATTTGTGTCATAACTTACCTTTGTCTGATCATTCCATCAACTTTTTCTCCAACATAAGTTATGTAGGACAACTAAAATCGGAAATCCCTTTTGGAGCTCGGGCTCCAGTGAGGCCCCCAAATTCAAATTTGAAATTTCATTAAAATTCATATTTTTACAGTTCAAAAAATTCTGTTTTTTTTTACAGATATACATGAAGGCATAATACACATGTGTGTAAATTTTCAGTTCAAAATACATTGAAACGAAGGCTGTGCAAAAAAGACAAATCTAGGGTTGTTTAACATACGATACTATTCATTCTCGCAGGCCATGGATTTGTCTTTTTTGTATAGGTCGCAACTCAAGATATTTTATCATGAATTTTTACACACATGTGGGTTACATCCTTACATACACTCATATTTTTTTCCGGAACTTTTTGAACCATAAAAGTTTGAATTTGATCTTTTTCAAAAATAAAGGTCTCCATGGAGCTCGGCCTCTAAACCGCCTTTCTCAACTAAAATGATGTATTATGTTCTTCACATGAACTTTCATTTCAAACCTTTACTAACTAGTAAGGTACAAGTGCATTGCACGCATGAGATATTCTTATAGTTCATCTCATTCAAAATCAATAAATTTTATTAAAAATTAATCTATTTTAAAATTCATGGAATTGTGCATTGTAGAGCATAAAGTAAAAACAAATAATGGCAATTCATTTAGAAAAAATTGGGCAATTATGATACAGAAGATTCTAGAACAAAGGAGAAGTGCTTATGTTTTGAGGTTTGTGCATTATGCTTAAGTTCAACCATGCAATCTTCTAGATTGTACATGCGGCAGAATGTGATGGAATATAGATGATATCTAACGGGCAGTAGTGTTCGGGTTTGCCATCTCTGCACCATCAGATTGACTTCATCCAACGACCATATTTTAAAATTATTCGCACGCTATATATAGGGGTGTGGATATAGAAGAAAAAATCAGTCCCTTTCTTCATCTATGAGTGTCTCTAGCACGCTCAGCCATCGGTTAATTATTCTTAACTGTTGGCATGCACATGTCTTCTACTCCCTCTGTTCCTAAATATTTGTCTTTTTGAGATTTCGAATGGACTATCGCATACAGATGTATATAGACATATTTTAGAGTGCAGGTTCACTCATTTTGCTTCGTATGTAGTTACTTGTTCAAATCTCTACAAACACAAATATTTAGAGACGGAGGGAGTATTACAGGGGCATGCATTCTATCCGCAAAACTGTTTTTTAACACATGTTTTCTTCTTCTTTTTTCAGTTCCTTGGATCTTATGTAATGATGTGTATACTGCCCTCACACGTGTTTTATAGTACGTTTTCAACCCTGTAATGGATGGCAGTCTCAGCATCATCTATCGCTAACCCCAAATTACTCACTAATATATTGACCGACTAACCAAACCTTGCTTTGAACGGAGTGGTCATCTACAACCTGCTAGAGTCCGTGGAGTAGGTGGCAGGCTAGAGTTGCACGGTGCGCCATCATGCGCGTCCCATCATTGAAGCTGCCGAACCTACGGCAGTTGTCTTGCAACCATTTCCTGTTTAGGGCCTTTTGATTCACGGGATTTTGAAAATGCAGAAATAGAAAAAATATAGAATTAAAGTGTCATGCCCACTTGATTTCTATAGAATTGATAAGGAGTGTTTGATTTCACGAAAAAAGCAAAGGCATTGTTAAAAAGGATTGACGTCGATGTTAGATTTCCTATAAAATATAGTAGAAAAAATTACATTAGAAAAATTCCTATGGCATTCAATTCTATGAATCAAAGGACAAATTTAGAAAAAGATTCAAAGAATTCTAATCATTCAAAAATCCTATAAACTTCCTTTGAATCAAAGGAGTCCGTAAGTTCTCGATTCAAAGATTGCGAAGCAGAACGAAATCTTAGCGATGTGCGATCGCTAATCGTCTCCGCATGATCAGATCGATCGTTGGATTGGGCCGTGAGAGTCAGTTGTGTGCGTGTTGCATGCATGTGTAGACTGGATTACTGAAAAAAGCTTTCGCCCCGCTTTATATATAAAGCACCAATCAACAAGCACCCAGTACAAACACACGCCACGCCACCGCAACACACGCACACACTAGGACAGGATACATAGACGTTGAGCGCAACAACAACACACCTAGCACTACCACCACGTAGAGATAAAGTTACATATGATGAACCATGCGCTTCAAGGTGGCGCCTTCAGGAAGGGAAAGACACCGGAGCGCCGTCACCGCCCGATCCAAGGATCAGAGTTTTCCCCGGAGCCGCATGACGGGCAATGAGAGCTGCGACAACGCCTTCAAGAAGGGAACGATCTTCGCCGCCGCCGGTCCGTCCGAAGATAGAACATGTTTTCGCCTCGGCCAACACTCACCGCCACCGAATACCACACCCCGGTAACCACGCCACCCACACGGCCATGGTGACCGGGCAACACCAAGGCAGGGGCTCTACCCACGAGCACCGTGATATGTCTCCAATGTATCTACTTTTCCAAACACTTTTGCCCTTGTT